GGACCCCAAAACCCCGGGGGTTGGGGGGGGGCCGGGCCCCCGGGGGAACCCCCCCGGGCGTCGAGCCTAGCCTACCTGGTCAAGGTGAGAAAGAGAGATTGTGTGTGTATGTGTGTGTGTGTGCATACGTGCGTGGGGTGTGTGTAATATATCTAATTTGTTATCGTTCTCTCTGTGTTCCTCAGGTGGGAGTTGGACAGGAGGCCAAGCTCCAGGAGTGGTTCCACCTTCCCCAGGACATGGCCAGCCCCCGGTGAGAGTGGAGAGAGGGAGGTATAGGGAGGGATGGAGAGGGATGGAGGACAGAGGGAGGTAGAGGGAGGGATGGAGAGGGATGGGGGACAGAGGGAGGTAGAGGTAGGGGGATAGTAAAGAAGTGGTTACAATGACACTAAAACAAACAAACTAAACTCAGTCTCCCCCTATCCTCCCTCTTCCTCACTGCCCGCTTCCCCCCCCTCTCTCTCTCCCTCTTCCCCCTCCCCCTCCTCTCTCTCCCCTCCCCTCCTCTCTCTCCCCCTTCCCTCCTCCCCCTCCCCTCTCTCTCTCTCCCCTCCTCCTTCCCTCTCTCCAGCTATGACCCAGACAGTGGCCATGACAGTGGGGCTGAGGATTCCCCAGACTCCTCCCCTCCCTTCTGCTTCCTCACCATGGGCATGGGAAAGGTCCTCTTACCCCAGGGGGCAGCAAACTTACACCACAATACCCACAGTACCCATGGGAACAACCATGGCCCCCCCACCGCCCCCCTACCCCAGCGCCTGGGGGTTTGTCTGGACTTCGAGAAGGGTCGGGTCACGTTCTACGATGCCCACTCACTGCGCACCCTGTGGGAGGGGCATGTGGATTGCTCTGCCCCTGTGTGCCCGGCCTTTTGTTTCATTGGTGGAGGGGCACTGCAGCTGCAGGAGCTGGTGGCCAATCGGAGCACAGAGGAGCCACCGCACAGAAGGGTCACCATCCAATCACGCGCCACCAATTTAGGTAACTGAAGAAGTATGGAGTGGAATGATGTGGAAAGAACCTTTATCAACTTTATGTTTACTTTTTTTATGTATAGGTTGCGTTTGTAATGTCTGCAACTGTTGATGATGTACATTATGCAGAATAGAAGAATGTCAATGTCCCGGAATCCAGTGGATTGTAAAGCGTTCTGCAAGTTACATCAGGATCTGTGTATTCTGGTATGATTCCAACTGTTGCTGTTGCTGTGTTGCATCTGAAAAAGACTCATGAGTAGGACGTTTACTGTTAAATGACTCATGAGTGGAACGTTTACTGTTAAATGACTCATGAGTGGGACGTTTACTGTTAAAGAACTCATGAGTTGGACGTTTACTGTTAAATGACTCATGGGTGGGACGTTTACTGTTAAAGAACTCATGAGTGGGACGTTTACTGTTAAATGACTCATGAGTGGGACGTTTACTGTTAAAGAACTCATGAGTGGGATGTTGCTTTTAAATGACTCATGAGTGGGACGTTTACTGTTAATGACTCATGAGTGGGACGTTTACTGTTAAATGACTCATGAGTGGGACGTTTACTGTTAAAGGACTCATGAGTGGGACGTTTACTGTTAAAGAACTCATGAGTGGGACGTTTACTGTTACATGACTCATGAGTGGGACGTTTATTTTAAAAGACTCATGAGTGGGACGTTTGCTGTTAAAGACTCATGAGGGGACGTTTACTGTTAAATGACTCATGAGTGGGACGTTTACTGTTAAAGACTCATGAGTGGGACTTATCTTAAAACTCATGAGTGGACGTTACTGTTAAGACTCATGTCTGGGACGTTTACTATGTTAAGAAACCATGAGTGGGACTTTACTGTTAAATCACTCATGAGGGGAAAGTTACTGTTAAATGACCCATGAGTGGGATTCCCTGGTTAAATGATCATGGGGTGGGACGTTTACTGTGTTAAATGACTCAGAGTGGGACGTTTACTGTTAAATGACTCTGAGAGGCGTTTACTGTTAAATGACTCATGAGTGGAATTTTACTGTATTAATTTTTATACGATGAGTGGGACGTTACGGGTTATAGACCTCATGATGGGTATTGTTTGCTGTTAAATGATTCATGAGTGGGAGTGTTTTAGTGTTGGGTAAAGATCATGAGGTGGGAGGTTTACTGTTAAATGAACTCATGAGTAGGCGTTACTGTTAAATGACTCATGAGTGGGAGTTACTGTTAAATTACTCATGAGTGGGACGTATCTGTTAAATGACTCATGAGTGGGACGTTATCTGTTTAAATGACTCATGAGTGGACGTTTACTGTTAAAGGACTCATGAGTGGGACATTATCTGTTAAATGACTCATGAGTGGGATGTTGACTGTTAAAGGACTCATGAGTGGGACGTTTACTGTTAAATGACTCATGAGTGGGACGTTATCTGTTAAATGACTCATGAGTGGGACGTTATCTGTTAAATGACTCATGAGTGGGACGTTTACTGTTAAAGGACTCATGAGTGGGACATTATCTGTTAAATGACTCATGAGTGGGACGTTAACAGTTAAATTACTCATGAGTGGGACGTTAACTGTTAAAGGACTCATGTTACCTGCACTTCACATAGATCTAATTGTTTGAAACCAAACCAAAATGCTCACATTGTGGCAGATTCTCTCATAAGCTTCAAAAATCTATTACAAATCAAGAGGGTATAAATGTCTATTCTATATTTTGACACAAAATAGAGAAGAATGGGATTTACACATTATGGATATAAACTATTTTGCATAAATCATGCGTTGATGTCAATGGGAAGATTTAGGATGTGTGTGTATTCAGTTGAATTAAAATTATAATACTTGTTTTATCATTTTCATCTGAACTGGCTGAATATTTATACTGTTTTATAGCTTTTTATTCATAGCTTTTATGATTATTATGACTGGCAATAGTTAATTTTTAATCAACAGATTATTAGAAAAAAGATAGATCTTACAGGGTCGAGGCTCAGACTGTCAGTATTCATACAGTATATTGAATGTGTGTCTGTGTGAGAGTGTATATTTACTTGAATGTGTGTGTGTGTGTGTGTGTGTGTGTGTGTAAGAGAGCGAGAGACATAGAGAGAGCGAGAGGGAGATGGTTTTCATGTGTTTGATACCACTCCATTCCAGTCATTATTATGAGCCGTCCTCCCCTCAGCAGCCTCCACAGAGAGAGAGAGACAGATTCAGAGTCAGTCCAGTCCAGTCCAGCCTGTTGCTCGGAGGTCTGGCTGTGACAACCATGCTTTCTGTTCTGTCTGTCCTGAATGATCTGGTTCTAATATTCAGTTATCTTATAACTTGCAGCACAGCACTTGAATGACTTTAGACTGTAGCATTTCCCAACCCTAATTTAGACTTTGCCATGCTGGCAGAATGTTTGTAAAATGTCATGAGAAAAACAAATAAACAATTCAACAGTTACATTGAGGTGTTAGGTGTATTATGTTCTATTTCAGGAAATAGCACATATCAGTAATGATGACCAGACAGGGAGAGGAATCAGCGGTCCATTCAAGAACACTGCATACTTTTGTCGTAATCTAGAAAATGAAGTCAAACATAGAACAGAAGAAGCTGGTCATTTGTCATTACATCACGTTTAATGGACGGGTCATTATAAGAAAATTCATGGCTCTTTGAACTCTGATTTAGCATCTGATTTCATCAAAGCGTTTGTTTGTGGTTCTCTCAGCCCTCACATAGGGAAGAGCAGGAAGCCACTGAAGGTGCAACATTTATTTGAATTATCATAGAGACCATAGCCTGATGGGAGATGCATGTAGATCAAGTCCCCCTCCTCCAGCTCTAGAGTCACTGCATTAGATACATACTGATGCCCTCCGTGGCTATTGTACTGATTTGACAATATTTCACGCTGCTTATTCTTAAATAAGGATACACCCAGATATGCCGATGTGCGGACGTCCATGCCAGAGAATCTGAAGTAGTAGATTCCCTCACTGATGCTGTGAAGACACCTGCATCAGAGGAAAGGAGGGATAGATCAACACTGTCTGTCTCTTATAGACACTGGAGCAGTCTGGTAGTGATGTCGGTGTCTGTAGCTAATGTCATATATGTAGCAGTAGTACCTGTCACTGGGCTGTAGGTGTTGCCAATGTTGGTGAAGACTTTGGTGTAGATCAGTTGGGTCTCAGTATTGAAAGGTCCTACTTTTCCTGAGTTAGTCAAACCAGCAGAGAAGGCCACCTTTGGTCTGTCTGTGAGCACAAAATAGTTCAATAAGATACTGGACGTTGAGTAAGATAAATTCATAAAAGGAACATATTCCCACACCACATTAGAGACGATGAGTTTCTGAAAGTCTGCGTTTGTCTTTCCTGTGTTCTCTTTCTTCAGCCCTTCCACTTCCCCTTTCAGTTCCTCCACCTCTCTCTCACTGGCTGTCACTCTGGTCCCCATGGCTGACAGTTCTGCTGCTTGGGCTGGAATTGTGTGAATAATGGCTAGAGCTCTAGATCTTATTTTAGATGTATACTTATTCATACATTACCTGTATTCTCCCTCTTCAGTTCATCAACCTGGCTCTCACTGGTTGTCACTCTGGCCTGCAGAACTAAAATATCAAGTAAACAAATGCAAATAAACTGATGATGAATTCAACACACTCTTTCCCGACTACAATAGTCAAATGAAATGAAGCTGTCTCACATTACCTGCATTCTCTCTCTCCAGTTCCTCCACCTTGTTCTTGTGGAACTGCAGTTCAGTCATAGTGACACTGAGCTCCACTCTGTGGTTCACCACCTCTTTCTGCAGCTCCTCCACCTCTCCTTTCAGCTCCTTCACCTTGCTCTTAATGGCACTCAGTCTGATCTCCAAAACTACAATAACATGAAGAGGCTTTTTAATCCATACTGAATTAAAAAGAAGCTAACCCACATGCGATAAACATATTGTAGTGCCCGTAGTACAAAAGTTTGGATCTCTTGGTGTAATGGCTAAGGCGTTCGACTGACACTTGCAGGGACTCGGGTTGGAGTCCCAATTGCCCTACATCCTGAATTTGCTACTAGTATACATCAACACTGTTCTTTCTTTACCTGAGTTCTCTCTCTTCAGTTCCACCACCTGACCCTCACTGGCTGTCACTCTGGTCCCCATGTTCCTCAGCTCCACTCTCTGCTCCACCACCATGTCTCTCAGCTCCTTCAGCTCAGTCCAGATGTCAGGCTAGGTGGTCAACTGTTCAGCATCACTCTCCCTGCTCTCTTCCCCTTCACTGTGACCCTGTTCAGTGATATCATTCTCTCTGACCCCTCCTCTCTCTCCCTTACCCCATGTCCCAGACAGACAGAACAGCAACACCTGCAGAACTACAGCACCCCTCATTCTGAAACAATGTCTCTTCAGAACTCATGTAGTCTACTGGGCTCAGTCCCCTTCTTTATATACACACTGGTCTTGGTGGACCAATACATGAGATGTTGACACGTGTCCTCTGTGTGAATGTTCCAGATAGCCTTGGCGGTGTGATAAAACAGGGAACATTTTGCACAGACTAAAAGCAGGTCATTTGTATCTGATGCTGTGCATGTGGGAAAATCAAACCTGTTACTTCTGTCTGTCTGTGTTGTGTCTGCCAGTAAGTAGGGTCGGCAGGTAGCCTAGTGGTTAAGAGCGTTGGGCCAGTAACCAAAAGGTCACTGGTTCGAATCTCCGAGCCGACTAGGTGAAAAATCTGTAGATTGCTCTTGAACAAGGCACTTAGCCCTAATTGCTCATGTAAGTCGCTCTGGATAAGAGCGTCTGCTAAATGACTAAAATGTAAAAGAGTAGGAAGTAAATATAAAGCATCAAGGTATCAGAAATATCATCATGCTTACTAAATAAAGATTTCCAAAGCTCCACTATGCATATTGGAGGATTAGGTAGTCATCACCATAGTTTGTACACCTAGATCCACAAGGTGGAGTTAACTTGAAGGGATTGAGGGTTTAAAACAAAGCCTCGCCCTGCTTCTGTGGCTGTTAACAGAGCAGGAAGTATCCAGGTAGTTAAATAGAACACACACACTCCCTCCGGTCCTCACGCACTGCACAAACACTCCTGCCACCTGACCAGCCTCATACAGGTAAGAGACACCTGGTTGTGTTCTTTCTCACTCATCTGTCTCTGTTTTCATGTGTTTTCTCCCTGTGAACAAACAATGCCAATAGTATGTCTGTCATATAAGAATGTCCCAGATGGGAACCTGACAGGGCTATAAAGTTGTCGTATTTTGATTGACTAAATGGGACGACATGATATGTGGGGAATGGCTCTCAGCACTTGGCTTTGCCTAGTTTAAATGCCAGGTAAACAGGAGTGGTATTATTTGTGCATGTCAACGTGTGTATATACTGCCAAGTGCCAAACTGCCAGAACTGGATTGGCTGTGTATCCGCCCAGGCAGCCATGGTTCTCACAATCATTGTTCCACAGTCTCATAATGAGCCACCAGAATAGCTCAAGACACAACTGACTGTAGCATGTCACATCATAATAATCACTAAGTAACACCGTAATAAACAGTATGTATTAAACATCACAAAATGTACCTCATTCACAGAGACAGGTTTGTTTAGACATGGTTAGTGAAGAGTTAAAGTTTGTATTTGTAAAGCTAAATTGCCTTTCTTGATGGCCCCTGAGGGGATAATTAAAGTTGAATTGAATTGAATTATATTTTAAAAGGAGGAGGAGAAGGAGGAAGAGGAACAGGTGGTTTGTGACAGGATTTTATGATAGGATCTTATCAGCACAGCCAGGTGAACACCAACCAGGTGAATACCAACACTTTGCCTTGACGTGACAGAACAGGATTGAATCTGTCCATCAGCTGTAAAACAGAGGGAGGAGGAAAAAGAGGAACAAGGAAACAAGAGAAAGTATTTCTCTAAATGTCAAACATATATCTTATGTAAGGATTTACAAATATTTTAGGTATGTAGGTATGTGTGTGTCTGAGTGAGTGTTGTTATTGGGTGGTGTGATCTCAGTCTCTATCTTTTCATCAACTCTCTTGCGCTTTCATGTTCATCTTTGGATTTTAGCAACTGGGTTTGGGAAGAAAATACACACATTTCTAACAATTTCAATGTATTTAATTGACTTTCACAGTCAACTTCATGCCCAACTTCACGCCCATTTTGAATATCTTTTATTGCCTTCTGCAGGTTGCTGCAATGATATTTCTCCGCCACTTGGGGGCAGTGTTGGCTCTTTCTTGTCTTGTCTCCATGGCCCAAACTGAGGAAAGTGAGTGGTCAAAATAGTATCCTTATTTAACACAATTTTCTCTCCTCATGTATTTGTCTTTGCTGGATGGGAGGATGGACATTCTGAAGAGCAATAAGTGTCTCACTCCCTCCCCTCTTTTCTCTTCCTCTCATTCTCTCTCCAACCCCCTCTCTCCAGCCGCTCTGCAGGGCTCCAGCAGGCCCCCGACGAGGGCTCTGTTTCTCAGCTACAGCTCAGATGGAGACTCCCTCACCAGCGAGCAGCTCCGCAGCCTCCTCTCCAACGAGTTCAGCCAGGTCCAGGTGTGTGTGTGTGTGTGTGTGCTTGTGTGTGCCTGTGTGTGTGTTTGTGTACTGAGCTGAAAGGGCAGAATACTAAACTCTCTCTCTCTCTCTCTCTCTCTCTCTCTCTCTCTCTCTCTCTCTCTCTCTCTCTTCCTCATTCTCTCTCTCTGTTCCTCAGTGCAATCGGGAGTTAGTTTTTTGGGCGTTGTGAGTGTTTGGTTGTGGAGGGCTTGTCCTAACTTATTGTCTTGTTTCTTTCACCTTGGTTTTCTCTTTTCTATGGTGTGGAGGGTTCATGCACTGTTTGTAGTTAGTGTGTAACCCACTTGTTTTTTCCTTTTCGACAAGGTTATAGGCGGAAGAGGACAGGCGTTTAGTTTCACTGGGGGTTGATGGTACCAATGGTGAGGGCCCTGCGTGAGCGATGGCTTCGCTAGCCTAGATGCGGATGGGGGACGCTGTCGTTGGACGGCATGGGTGGATTCAGGTGTGTTCCCGAGAATGGAATTAAGGTGGAGGAGGTTCTGCTCGCGGTCAGCGAACAGGTAGGAGCTGAATTTATACATTCTGCATCCAGAATGAACAAAGCTGTGGTTGTGTTCATGAAAAGAGCAAATTTGGTGGGTAGGCTCATTTCAAGTGGAATATTTGTAAGGGGTTGTGTTGGTGCCAATTTCTCCTCTTTCTACCCCTTCGACCAGGGTGGTTAGTTGCAAATTTGCCTCCGTTGATTACGGATGATCAAATCAGGAAGGAGTTGAGTCGTTTTGGTAAGTTTGCTAGTGGTTTTCGTGTACTGTCGGCAGGTTTTCAGGCAGATGCCGTCAAGCACGTTGTTTCATTCCGGAGGCAAGTGTTCATGTTTCTGAACAACAATGAGCAAACAGTTAAATGTGCACTTTAAAGTGAGGCATAGGGAAGGGCTCTGTTTTTTTTGGGCCCCCCTTTTTTTAAATTTTTTCCCCTTTTTTTTTTTAAGGGGGGGGGGTTTTTGGGGGGGGTTTTGGGGGGGGTTTTTTTTTTTTTTGGGTTTTTTTGGGGGGGGGGGCCCAACCTTTTTTTTGGGGGGGGTTTTTTTTTTTTTAAATGGGGGGGAAAAGGGGTTTTTGGGGGGGGGAGGGGTAAGGGGGGTTGGGAAGGGGGGGGGGGTGGGGATGGGGGGGTTTTTGGGAAAAAAAGGGGGGGGGGGGGGGTTTGGGGGGGGGGGGTTTTTGGGGGGGGGGGGGGGGGGGGGTTTTTTTTGGGTTTTTTGGGGGTTTTTTTTTGGGGTTTTTTTTTGGGGGTTTTTTTGGGTTTTTTTTTTTTTTTTTTTTGGGGGGGTTTTTTTTTTTTTTTTTTTTTTTTTGGGGGGAATTTGTTTTTTTTTTTTTTTTTTTTTTTTTTTTTTTGGGTTTTTTTTTAAAGGTTTTTTTTTTTTTTTTTTTTTTTTTTGGGGGTTTTTAAAATTTTTTGGGGGGGGGGGGGGTTTTTTTTTTTTTTGGGGTTTTTTTTTTTGGGGGTTTTTTTTTTTTTTGGGGGGGGTTTTTTTTTTTTTTTTTAAAAAAGGGGGGAAAAAAAATTTTTTAAATTTTTTTTTTTTTTTTTTTGGGGGAGGGGGGGTTTTTTTTTTTGGGGGAAAAGGGAAAAAAATTTTTTGGGGGGGGTTTTATTTATTTTTGGGGGTTTTTGGGGGGGTTGGGGTTTTAATTTTTTTTTTTTTTTTTGGGGGGGTTTTTTGGGTTTTATTTTTTTTTGGGGGGGTTTTTGGGGGATTTTGGGGTTTTTTTGGGGGGGTTTAAATTTTTTTTTTTTTTTTTGGGGGGGTTTTTAAAGGGGTTTTGGGGGGTTTGGGGGTTTTTTTGGGTTTTTTTTTAAAATTTTGGGGGGGTTTTTAAACAAAAAAGGGGGGGTTTGGGAAAAGGGGGGGGGGGGGGGGGTTTTTGGGGGGTTTTGGGGGGGAGGGGGGGGGGGAAGGGGGGGGGGTTTTTTTTTTTAAAAAAGGGGGTTTTTTTTGGGGGGGGAATAAGGGGGGGGGGGGGGTTTTTTTTTTTTTTTTTTTTTTGGGGGGGGGGGGGTTTGGGAAAAGGGGGGTTTTTTTTTTTTTTTTTTTTTTTTTTTTTTTTTTTTTTTTTTTTTTTTTTTTTTTTTTAAAAAAAAATTTTTTTTTTTTTTTTTTTTTTTGGGGGGGGGGGGGGGTTTTTTTTTAAAAAAAAGGGGGGGGGGGGGGGGGGAAAAAAATTTTTTAAAAAAAGGGAAAAAAAAAAAAATTTTTCCCAAAATTTTTTTAAAAAAATTTTTTTTTTTGGGGGGGGGTTTTTTTTTTTTTAAAAAGGGGATTTGGGGGGGGGGTTTTTTAAGGGAGGGGGGAAAAAGGGGGGGGTTTTTTTTCCCCCCCAAAAAATTTTTTTGGGGGGGTTTTGGGGGGGAAATTTTTGGGGGTTTCCCCCAAAAAGGGGGGGAAAGGAAAATTTTTTTTTTTTTTTTTTGGGAAAACCCCCAAAAAAAGGGGGGAAAAAAAAAAAACCCCCCCCGGGGGGGTTTTTTTTAAAAAAGGGGGGAAAAAAAAGGGGGGGTTTTTTTTTTTTCCCCTTTTTTTTGGGGGGGTTTTTTTTATTTTAAAAATTTTTTTTGGGGGGGGGAAAAAAAATTTTT